AACATTAAAAATATCTTAGAGAAATAAAGAAATGAACTTTAAAAATCTTAAAAAGGGGGATAAAATCTTTTTTAAAAAATGTTTATTCTTGAAAGAGAGAGCACACAAGCAGTGGAGGGACAGAAAGAGGGGGACAGAGGATCTGAAGCAGGCTCTGAGCTGACAGCAGTGAGGCCAATGTGGAGATTGAACTCACAAACCAGGAGGTCATGACCTGAGCTGAAATCAGATGTAACACACTGAGTCACCCAGGTGCCCCAAAAGGGACACAATCTTAAGTGTAACTTTCTTTTCTTTTCTTTTTATTTATTTCTGAGAGAGAACGAGAGCAGGGGAGGGTCAGAGAGAGAGGGAGACAGAATCTGAAGCAGACTGCAGGCTCTGAGCTGTCAGCACAAAGCCCGATGTGAGGCTTGAACCCACAAACTGTGAGATCATGACCTGAGCTGAAGTTGGATGCTTAACCGACTGAGCCACCCAGGCACCCCTTAAGTGTAATTTTCAATGATCACCTTGGTAATGCAAAATATGATTTTGGATTTTTTTCCTGGTGAATTCAAAGAGAAAGTGTAATTTGCCTTTAACCATCATAAATTAATTTAAAAAAATTATATAAAAGTAACTAATCATAAAAATAGTGTGCAACATGAAACATGCCACAAGATAGTCTAATAACTAGAAAATCAAAATATAATTTGTTGACAGCACCACCAAAAGAAAATAGTAACAAGCAAAGGTGATAGACAATGTAATGTTTGCATGTAACTATTTTTTAAAAAAATTTTTTTAATGTTTTTTATTTATTTCTGAGAGAGAGACAGCGCAAGCAGGGGAGGGTTAGAGAGAGAGGGAGTCACAGAATCTGAAACAGGCTCCAGGCTCTGAACTACCGTCAGCACAGAGCCCAACATGGAGCTCAAACCTATGAACTGTGAGATCATGACCTGAGCTGAAGTCGAAGTCGGACGCTTAACTGACTCAGCCACCCAGGTGCCCCTGCATGTAGCTGTCTTTTAAAAAAGAAAAAAAAAATCATGAGATTCTGCCATCCTTAATGGGTTTTTTTTTTTTTGAGAGACAGAGAGAGAGAGAGAGAGAGCGAGCGAGAAAGAGAGGAAGAGGGGGAGAGTGAATCCCAAGCAGATTCTGCACTGTCAGTGAGCTTGATGAGGGGCTTGAACTCAAGAAAGGTGAGACCATGACCTGAGCTGAAGTTTGACACTTAACACACTGAGCCACCGAGGCACCCCTGCCATCCTTTAATAATTCCATACATATTATTATTGTTGTTTTTATTATTATTATTATTATTATTAAGTAGGCTCCACAGCCAACTTGGGGCTTGAACTCAAGATCCTGAGATTAAGAGTCACATGCTATAATATAGACTGAGCCAGCCAGGCACCTCATTATAAATGGATATACTCTTTAAAAAAATTTTTTTTTTTAGTGTTTACTTATTTTTGAAGGAGAGAAAGACAGAATGTGAGCAGGCAAGGGGCAGAGAGAGAAAATCCAAAGCTCACAGAATCCCAAGCAGGCTCCAGGCTGTAAGCTGTCATCACAGAGCCCCTTGGGGCTCAGACTCACGAGACATGAGATTATGACCTGAACTGAAGTTGCATGCTGGACTGACTGAGCTATCCAAGCACCCCTATAAATGGATGCTCTTAATAGTGGTTTTGGAATTACTGACTGTATTTATTAATGTTAGAGCAAAACCATAATAATGTATTTGTCAAACTGACAAAGAAGCATACTCTTGACTTAGGTAAAGGGTAACACATTATAAAAAATATACGGAATAACAAGTATTAGAATCCCAATTTATTATTAATAACAATACTACTAGTGTTTATATTCCTAAATTCAGCCTATTGAAAAAGGATGCCAAATAAAGAATATCTATTTAAATGCCATTCAAAAGTGGTAGTTAAGGGACACCTGGGTGGCTCAGTTGGTTGAACATCTGACACTGGCCCAGGTTATGATCTTCTAGTTTGCAAGTTCAAGCCCCATGTCGGGCTCACTGCTGTCAGCTCAGAGTCTGCTTTGGACCCTCTGACCCCCTCTCTCTCTGTCCCTACTCCAGTTGCATTCTCCATCTCTCTTAAAGGTAAATAAACATTAAAAAAAGTTCTAGTTAATGAAATAAAAATCCCCTTTCCCCCTTATTTGTCATATGAATATGTTCTGGAACTAGATAGTGGTGATGGTTGTATAGCATTGTGAATTTACTAAATGCTAATGAATCATGTACTTTTATTATTTAATTTTATTTTTTCCAGCTTTATTAAGATATAACCAACATATAACATTGTATAAATTTAAGATGTATAATGTGCTGATTTGATACACAATATTACAAAATAATTATCACAGTGGGGTTAGTTAACACCTCTAACACCTCACATAATTATCATTTCTTTTTGTGGTGAGAATATTTGAAGTCCACTCTCTTAGCAACTTTCAAGTATGTAATACAGTATTAACTATAGTCATCATACTACTCATTAGAGCTCCAGAACTGATTCATCTTATAACTGGAAATTTGTACCTTTTAATCAACATTTTCCTCTCCCTAGGATATCATCACTCTACTCTTTGTTTCTAGAAGTTTTGATTTTTTAGATCCCATTTATCAGCATGATCACACTATATCAGATCTCTTATTTCAGTTAGCACAATGCTCTCAGAGTTCATCCATGATGTGGGAAATGCCAGGATTTCCTTCTTTCTCATAGCTGAATTATATTCTGTTGTATGTATATACCACATCTTCTTTACCCATTCATCAATGGAGGGATACTTAAGTTGTTTCCATGTTGTGACTATTATTAATAATGCTACAATGAACATGGGAGAGCAAATATCTCTTCAAGATACTGATTTCATTTTCTGTGGATGTATACCCAGAAATGGGTTTGCTGGGTCATACGGTAGTTCTATTCTTAATTTTTTGAGGAACTGCCATACTATCTTTTGTAGTGGCTGTACCAGTTTACCTTCCCATCAACGGTGCATATGGGTTTCCTTTTCTTTACATTCTTGCTAACACTTATTATCTCCTGTCTTGTTGGTGATAGCCATTCTAATAGTGAGGATTGTGGCTTGGATTTGTATTTTCCTGATGGTCAATGTTGTACTGTTGACCATTTGGATATCTTCTTTGGAAAAGTGTCTATTCAATTCCTCTGCCTATTTTAAAAATTTATTTTTAGGGCTCAGTTGGTAGAGCCTGTGACCATTGATCTTGGTGTTGTAAATTCAAGTCCCATGTTGGGTGTAGTGATTACTTACAAAAATAATCTTTAGTAAAGAAGGTATTTTTAAATTCAAGTATAATTAACATACAGTGTTATATTAGTTTCAGATCTACAATATAAGGATTCAACAAGTCTATACATTTCTAGTATAATTAATGGATCGTATGGTAATTCTATTTTAAAAATTTTTTAAGATTAAAAACATTTTTTTAGAGAGCAAGTGAGTGAGTGGGGGAGAGGGGCAGAGGGGGAGAATCTTAAGCAGGTCTGATGCTCAGGCTGACCCTCGGAGCATGACCTGAGCATGAAATCGAGAGTTGGATGCTCAACCCAATGAGCCACCCAGGCGCCCCAAGAGTTTAAAATTTTTTAAGTAATCTCTACACTCAACATGGGGCTTAAACTTACAACCCTGAGATAAAAAGTTGCATGCTCTACTGTCAGCGAGGCACCCCTATTTGTAACCTTCTGGGGGAATCTCCAGAGTGTTTTCCACAGTGGCTGCATGTATTTGCATTCCCACAAACAGTGCACAAGGGTTCCCGTTTCTCCACATCCTAAACAACGCTTGTTATTTCTTGTGCTTTTGATTTTAGCCATTCTAACACAGTAATACATCATTGTGGTTTTGTCTTTCTCTGATGATTAATGATGATGAGCATGTTTGCGGATGTTTGTTTGCTACCCGTATGTCTTTAGTCAGGTCCTCTGCCTTTTTAAAAATGGGATAATTTGTTTCATTGCTGTTGAGTTGTATTAGTTCTTTAGATATATTTTTATTTGCAAATATCTCCATTTTATAGGTTGCCTTTTCATTCTACTGATTGTTTTTTTTCCCTGCGTAGTTTGATGTAGCCCCACTTATTTGGCTTTTTTTGCTTGTGACCAATATCAAGGAGCTTTCCCCTATTTTCTTCTAGGAGTTTCACAATTTCACGTTCTATGATTAAGTCTTTAAATCCAGGGAATAGAAGTTTAAAGAACCCAAGTGAGTTACTGAGAAACCAGACAAGAGCTTCAAAGAAGTTGGGGTGAAGGCGATCAGAGTTTTCCTCAGAGATGGTAAAAAGAGAGTGGTAAAGAGGATATACTTTGGGCAGGAGATTTAGGACCATATGATTTAAGCTGCGAGTATTTAGAATGGCCAAAGCCTGATCTGCAACAAATTTTTTAAGAATTCAGAAAAAAAATGCCATAGGCTATGTCTTTCCTTTCTGGGCTTGAAGGTCTTTACATCTGTTTTGATCACTGGTGGCTGTCGCTTGTTGGGACTTTGCTTTCGTTTACTTGGGTGCTGTCGTGCACCACCAGAGGCAGAAGAAAAAGAAAGCTCTCTTCCTCGCGAAGTTAAGACGAACGCGGCCTCTTAACATCCTTCACTCTCCCGTTTTAGCCTTGGGGACGGTCCTTAGCTGCGATAAGAACTAGCGAGCCCGGTCAGCTCTGCGGAGATGCGCTCCCGTTGAGGGGGCGGGACCAGGGGAAACCCCGCCTCCCAAGTCCAATCCCAGCTCTCCGCCGGCGGACAGGAAGCGGCGGCAGGCCTAGCAGCCCGGGAACCGGCCCCCGCGCGCATGCGCACGCCCCTGGGGTGCCTGGGGGAGGGGGAGGGTCGGGAGGAAGGGGTGCGGCTGGGCCTGTTGGTTGGGCGCCGGGCGTCACGTGGTGAGGAAGGAGGCGGAGGCCCCAGGCTCGGGGGAGGGAGGTAGAGAAGAGGGAAGGAGCGAGGGAAGGAACGCGGGGAAGGGAGGAAGGAAACGAACGAGGGGGAGGGAGGTCTCTGTTTTGGAGAAGCTGGGAGCTTTGCCGGCCCCTGAAGTGGAGCACGAGGGTGGTGCTTCGCCGTTTCTCTTGCCGGGGGAGGTCCCGGCATCCCGTGGAGACTCCGGACCAAGCCCCTTCAGCTTCTCCCTCCGGATCGATGTGCTGCTGTTAACCCGTGAGGAGGCGGCGGCCGCGGAAGATGGTGTTCCTGAGAGTGTTAATTCTGCTCCTCTCCTGGGCGGCGGGGCTGGGAGGTGAGGCACGACCCCGAATGCCGGGGACGCCTTGGCCACTGCGGACCGCGCGGCGGCAGCGGCGGCCGGGTCGAGCGGAGCCCAGTCGCGCCGCGCGGCGGGCGCGTCAGTCAGCCCGGCCGGCCGGCGGCGCCACTCCGGCGCGCAGCACTCCCCGCTCCCTATTGTCCCCCGCGCCCCGACCGCGTTCCCTTCCGCGGCGGGCCGTGGAGGCTCCCAGCCTCCACCGAGGCCTTCCCCACCCCCCACTGCCCCGGCGCCCGGGGAGGTGGGGGTCCCCTCCCAGAGAAATAGTCGGGAGATCGGAGTCGCCGGGCGTGAGCCGTGGAGCCCAGGCCGGTGGCTCCGTACCTCCAGCCTGCTCGTCGGGTTGCCGGGACGGGCAGTCGCCTCGGGGCCGGCAGTCTTTGCCTCCCTCCTTCCGTCCCTAGCCTCTGTGCCCGGTGGCGGGTTCTGGAGTCCGCTCCTCGGCGGGGAACCGCCGCGCAGGCTCGTGGGAAGTTGGGATGTGTGCGGCGGTGCTGGTGTATTGTTCTTTACCCGGCGCGGCGATCCAGACTGACCCGGTTCTGCAGTGGCGCGGCCCGTGGAACGGTAACAGTGGTCCCCTGCCAGTCTGAGACGAGTCGCTTCCGCTCTCGATAGTGCCCTGCCTCTGCCCGAGTGTTTGGAGAGAGCTCTCAAGAGGGTGTGTTTATGTTCAGTGAAACATTCTGTTGCCCAGGGGAAAGGGTTTGGTCGGGAGAAAGGTAAGCCGTTTCGAGATGTTCTTTGATCTGCAGGTTGGATTGGGTCTCTTGGAGGGACAGCCCCAGGGTGATCCAACTTGAATTTTCTTAAACTCTCAGGTGGAGTAGACGAACAGTGTAGTTAGTGGGTTGTCAAACTGTGGCAACTATCCCACCCCGCAAATTGGAGTTAAATTTACTGTAAGCGGATGCTTTCTTGATAACTTGGGTTTTGAGCACGATTTTTATTTCCAGTGTGTCCTAGGAGCGGCTGCATTGTTTTGTTGTTGTATAAAGGGCTTTATTTTAGGTAAAGTGTTTGACCTTGCCCTAGCATATACTTAAAACACCTCACAGTATGTTTAAAAACACTGAATTGAAAAAATTCCCGGAATGCTTTGGATGAGTATAGCCTAGTTTGATAACTTAGAAAATGCCGCATGTCTTATATAGTGTATTGTTTCTGTTCTTTGTCACTTTAACTTTTGATTGCGGAGCCAACTGTATTTTTGACTTGAGTTCTACTTAGTGATGATACTTTGTGGATACACTTTTGTTGTAGTTTGTGGTGTTCATTTGTTAGATACACATTTTAGATTAAGAGCTTCTAGTAGATGTTTAGTTTTAGGAAGTATCTTTGCTACAGATTCTTATAAGGGCTTTTTCACTTAACATTTGTATTTATGTTCTGAATGTGGCTGCCAACAAATTATTTTTCTATTTATGATTATAGTCATGTGTTGGATTCTTGATTTCTAGGAGGTGGTAAGAAGTAAGACAAACACATGAGGTACTTTAAACTACTGAGGAGTGGTAGTATATAAAATGAACTTTGTTTTTAAGGAATGAAACAGTAAGAATAGAAACTGGTGTAGTCTGATGGTTGAAGAAAAAGTAAACCCCATAATCTTTGTGGGTTAAGACCCTTGTTACACAAAAATCTAAATTCAAAACTCTGGAGCCATTCATCAAGTAACATTTTGCATTAAACATTAAAAGGTTAGTTACTTTTTGATGTTTTTGATGTTTATTTTAAGCAGAACTTTAAAAGACACTAAGAAACTTTCATTTAAAAATTAGCATCAAGATTGTAGCCTTTGGGTATATGGAGATATTTGTGATTTTATTGTAATATGAACTACCTTTAGATATGAATCTGAGCTATTTAGTTTGTAAGAAGTTTATATGATGATACATAGAATACATTGAAATTGAATGTACTTGTTTTAGCGTATGAAAGAAATGAATGTTTATGTAGATTAGGAGTTTTGGTAGAAATATGGATTTAACTTTAAAGTATAGATCATTTTTATGTTCTTAATAAATGGTTTTATTTGCTTCCCCTATTTTTAAAAAATTTTTTAAATGTTTTATTTATTTCTGAGAGAGAGAGAGAGAGAGAGAGAGAGACAGTGTGAGCAGGGGAGGGTCAGAGAGAGAGGGAGACACAGAATCCGAAGACAGGCTCCAGGCTCTGAGCCGGCTGTCAGCACAGAGCCTGACATGGGGCTCGAACCCGAACCGTGAGATCATGCATGACCTGAGCCGAAGTTGAAGTCAGTCGCTTAACTGACTCAGCCACCCAGGCGTCCCCGCTTCCTCTATTTTGATTTGTCAGTCATTGTTTTGCATTCATTTTTTCTTTTACTATGAAAAGTGGGAAGTTGGAAGAGGGAATGAAAGTGTTTAGAGTCAGGGTCACCTGGGTGGCTTAGTCAGTTAAGCGTCGGACTTTCGCTTAGGTCATGATCTCGCGGTTCGTGAGTTCGAGCCCCGCGTCGGGCTCTGTGCTGACTGCCAGCTCAGAGCCTGGAGCCTGTTTCAGTCTGTGACTCCCTCTCTCTCTGACCCTCCCCTGCTCACGCTGTCTCTCTCTCTCTCTCCTAGAAATAAATAAAAATATTAAAAAAAAAAAGTGTTTAGAGTCATAAAACTTTAGCTTTCCTAATGCTGTTCATTTCTAGCACATGTCCCAGTCTATTGTATTTGTAGGAAGATCCCATAAAATTTCCAGAGTTAGTGTCTAACAGACATGTGCTCAAATATATACATAAAAATATTTTCTTTATTATTTGTAACAGTATTAGGAATTTATTGAAACTATTCTGAGTAAATATAGCCCAAAGGACTTTTGTATATGTGTGAATATAACTTTTTAACACAGATATTTTTTGAGAGTTGTTGTCTTTTTTGTTTTTAAAAATTAGTGTGTTTGAGAGGACCAAAGATATTTGAGATCTAGCAGTATTCGGTCCAGTAGTACTTTGGTTTGATGAAATCCTACATAAAATGAAGTTTAGAGTTAGGCATTTTTTTATATTTAAAAATCCAGTGTAAATGATTTGCTTTGTACCATGCATTCTCTAGAAATAAGTTTTCTGGAAGTTTGGCCAACAGTATTAAAATTATCAAAGCTTAAGCAATTTCATTTCTCTAAGGTCTGTGAAATTAATGAGAGATTTTTTTTTTTGTCTCTATCTTTAAGAGTTCTGACTATTCGTCTTTTTAATTTGAGATTGATAATCCAGTTAGCTGTATCATCTTAAGGCCCATTCAAGTCATGCCCTACATTAACTGTATCTTCTCTGTATAGGTACAGGAGCTCACTGAGTAGCAGGGGTTGAGGGAAAATGGGCATAGCAGGGACCTCTGTTTTCTGATGTTCTTTTTATAACTTGTTTAAGTTCTTCAGGGGTATTTATTATTTGATCTCTTTTACATTTTCCAAAGAACTTGCAGGGTTAAGGAGGGGGAACAAGGGGCATTTCTATGATGTCTATTGTGTGTGTATTCACTTGTCAACATTTATGACAGAGTGGTGATAATTTTATAGTTGAAGGAATAGGCATGATGAATTAATTTCTTTAGCATCATCCACCTGATTAGTGGTGAATTAGACATTCAGACCCAAGCCAGCCTAACCTCAAAGCCTAAGCTTTTTACCCACTGCTCCCTCATATCCTTTTTGAAAGCAGTTTTCACATATTAGCTCAAAGGTGGCCCCTGGACTAAACCACCTTAGAGATGTGTTTCATTTGATTTTTAGTGTCTTTAAGTTTCAACTAGTTCTCAATGAAATTTGTGAATTTCTGGATTTTGGGGGGAAGATTTGGAAACCCCAGGCTCTTCTGGGCTGCATTCCCATTGTCTGTAGCAGAGTGGTAGAGCGGTAGCTGTTCTTAGACTGGGCATGTGTTTACCAGTCAGTGCAGTTACTATCAGTGCAGTTATTGGTAATACACTGTCCTGCTTCACTGTTTTTTGTTACCGCTGTGGATCCTGTGATATGTTATTTGCATCTTTGCCTTGGCTTCAGCTTGTATAGATGAACTCAATCTTTTAAAAATATGTTTTTGACTGCCCTCTTATCCAACTTTTATAATATTTTTTATAATTCTTTATTTCTTCACTAGTTTTAAAATCTTGTTAAAAGCTGTGGCATACACCATACTTTTTATCATTTATCACTTTACCATTAGAATATTAGGTATTAAAAAAAATCTCGTTTTTGGGGTGCCTAGGTGGCTTAGTCGGTTAAGCGTCCGACTTTCGCTTAGGTCATGATCTCGTGGTTCGTGGGTTCGAGCCCCAAGTCGGGCTCAGTGCTGACTGCCAGCTCAGAGCCTGGAGCCTGTTTCAGTCTGTGACTCCCTCTCTCTCTGGCCCTCCCGTGCCCACGCTGTCTCTCTCTCTCTCCTAGAAATAAATAAAACATTGAAAAAAAAATCTCGTTTTCATGATAACAATTGAAGATCTTTTTTTTTGTAATTTTTTTTTTTAATGTTTGATTATTTTTGAGAGAGAGCGAGTACGCTGGGGAGGGACCAAGAGAGAGGGAGACACATAATCTGAAGCAGTATCTAGGTTCTAAGCTGTCAGCACAGAGCCCATTGTGGGGCTTGAATTCACGAACCATGAAGTCATGACCTGAGCTGAAGTCAGAGGTTTAACTGACTGGGCCACCCAGACACCCCAACAATTTGAAGGTCTTAAAGAATGATGGTTATAATTTTTCTGGATCATTTTATCTCAATGAGCTGGTAAGAAACCATTTCTTTTTCTACTTGGATAAGACTCAGAAAAAAATGGTTGAGGGTCATGTAAGGAAAAAACTTAGGCTTCTTTTAAGGACAGGTTATAAACATAAACTCTGCTTCTGAATTCATAAAATGAAATGGATTAACACGTTCAACAATAAGCTACATGTTCCAACTTTGTTGGGAGATGACAGTGACAGGTTCAGATATGGAAAGATTCCCAAATAACAAGTCT